TTTATTAAAATATGATTGACAGAATACAGATAATTCTCCCGCACCATGTAGATGCTGAGAGAGAGGGAGAGAGTTGAGCAAAGTAGCAATGGGGCAGTGGTTCAGAGTTGGATTCCAAGGCTACAGAAGTACATTTCCAAAAGAAGATTAATCGATTGTTTTCTGAGACAAAAGCATTATAAATGGGTGGAAACAAAACTTTGAGCAAGAGTCTCTAATATGGAGATTAACCTGGCAACAATGGTGAGTTCTGGTCCCATTAACCTAAACCACAGAGTAGGAAACTGTGCTAGGAAAGACCGACAGGCTGTGGGTGCCTTCACGACCAACTGCTTACTCCAAGAATGAGGAATTTGGAGTGCCTAGGCAGGGCTTCTTTGCAAATGTTCTTTGTGCATGCATCAGTGGCCTCTGACAACCACCAAGGCGTCTGTATTTCAAAATCCATTAGCAGACCCGGCTCCTTCCACTGTTGCAAGAAACACAGCGTATAACCAGCTGGCTGAAGAGTGGATTTGGAACTTGGTGCCACTTTATCGGCTCCCGGAATTTTGAATTGTGTGTGCCCTATCTTTTTTCTATGTGGCAGGCCTCTGCCTTTCTGTTTTGATCATCAGTCCTGGCCCCCAGTGAGTAAACTGGAAGAACCAATTTTTAGAACCTTATATATGTCCTTTTGATCTTTTCTTGAAATCGCACCCCATGAACCAACTGTTTCCTTACAGCACACGGATATCAAGTTATCTAAATAAATAAAACCCTGCATTTATTCAGGTTGATTTTTGCTTTCCTGATCAAAACAAACTTGAGTGTGCATACAAGCCATAGTTTGCTCTTGCCCAGATCTCACAAGGATGTTCACCCCCAGGCCTTCTCTACAGTAATCTGGTTTCTCCTTTCATCTCTGTACATAGCGCTCACTACCTTAAGGCTCGACCTCTGGACAACATGGTCTTCAGACTCCATCCCCTGTAGTCCTTGGAGGCCCTATTTGTCCAAACAATTGCGGTTTTCTTTGTTCTTCCTGTAGTGCTTGCTCAGGCAACATCAGTTAAACATGATGATTCCAGGAAAGACAGCCGTGGGGAGCAATTGGAGGGATGTGGGCCCATGTTCCGATAAGAGATCGAGGGGAACGCTCTGTGGTGTTGGTGACCAATGTGAATGTGGGTTCATTTTGCTAAACGATATCCTCTCTTCCCAAAGCCAAGCAGCACGTGTGTCTGCTAGCATCTGAGTAGGAAGTGGTGGATGCACAGAAATTTAAAAGGAGACCTTTACCATAAGCATAATCTGTGCCCTAGAAATATCAAGGAAGTTCAAAACACGGTGAAGTATCAAAAACATGGCTGCCAAACAAGATCTGAAGAAGGACAATGGCAACACACATGCTAACGTAGAAGGGAGAAGCCTCATGGGACTCCAACCATGTGCCAAGAGCTACAAGCAACTAAGGAATGCTGGGAGTGGAAGAAAATAGCCTTCCTTGGAAAAAAAACAAACCTAGTTGGTTATCCAATACCAAGTGGTCAGCCCTGGAAACATCAACTCCACAAATCAAGTACATTTGATCTTAGAAAAAGGGGATCAGAGTGGTAGTGGAGAATAACCAGTGTTTTACCAAGATGGAGTGCTGTGGGAGCTCCTTCCGCTCCTTCAGCCAATCGCCGCTGAGTTACCAGCCCACTGGGGCGTGGTCTCTCTCTCTAAAAAAAGCAGCGGCTGTCCTCCACTCCCTCTTTGGCTTCCGGCTCGGCTTCCATCCCAGACAACAGCCCCTCAGTGCGAACAGGAAAGGAGTCTAGGAGCCGGAAGCCAGAGAGGGAGTGGAGGACAGCCGCTGCTTTTTTTAAAGAGAGAGAGACCATGCCCCAATGGGATGGTAACTCAGCTGCGATTGGCTGAAGGAGCGGAAGGAGCTCCCACAGCATCGGAGCCCCATTGTCTCTCTGGGAGACCATTGCATCACATGACTTGGCTTAGATAACATTCTTAACAAAAGCAAGGGGTCCCACACTGCCTGTGTAGGAACATCCTCCCAAGCAGAAATTCCTAAGCTTTCAGAATATGTGCTCGCAACAATATCTTTGCTAGAAGAACCAGAGGACAGAATGGTAAAGACCCAGTGATTGCTTCTATGTTGGTTAGAACACGCTCCAGTGGTCAAGCTCCAATAGTCACTGGATACCATTATTTTCAGGTAGATTATGTTAACACAGGGATTTTTTAAAAAAAGACTCAGTTAAATTGTACACACTTTTCCAGGCTCTCTCCTCTGTATTCATGCAAGGAATTATTGGTAGGGTGATAATTTCAGATAACTTGAATCATAGTTTTAGTGTCCCTAAACTACACTTTGTTAACTAAATCAAATGCAAACGTGAACCAAATCTTGCTCGCCACTCCTTGTTTCCCCAGATGCTTCCCATCTCTGTGATCTTGCTTCTGGGGAAAATTCACGTCTATGTGCCTGCCTGAATTATTGACTCTGCCATACCTCAAATCACATGACTCAGGATGAGTCAGGGATCCTTGGTGCTAATTTTCTATCCATGCTTTGGACACTCTGCCCTCACCTTCTCTCGGCCTCTCTCCTCCTCTTGATATAGTGCATGGATTATAGTGGATAGAGAACAATATCAATGTTTAAAATTTCAGTGGTGTTTAAGCCATAGGATCCTCAGTGTGCATTCCTACATGCAAGATGCAAAAACCCTGGAAAGTCTTTGGTCTGAGGATGACAGAGACATTGGTACATACCCAGTGGCCTGGTAGTGTCATACCCTGTTACCTTGTGTGAAATAAAGTTGATGCTTTCCTTAGTCTTCTGCTATTGTGAGGTAGTTTTCTGAATTTGCTTAGAAGGGGGAGGACAGAATCTCCTAAAGCTGCAGTTACAGCTGGGATGCCATTTAGAGGGACATGTCCACAAGAATACCCAAAATAGAACAAACAGAATCTGCAATGTGGTTAACGAGGAAAAGTGACGGTTATTCCTAATGGATCTCTTCCGAGACAATGATGGTGTGATAGAAAGGGCTCTCTGTCTGTGCAGGCACATGTCAGAGCCAAAGGTTCACCTGCGGAATCCTGTTCTCCACACAGAAAAGTGAGTCACCCCCAGTGATAGGATGGCCCAGTGACACAAGGCTGTGATCTGGTTATCCTCTGACACCCAGACTAGCCCTTTTAAGTTTTGTAATATATAAGATATAGTAAGACTGCCAAGCCAACCCCCAACCTGCTCCACACTCATCAACTTCGTCCATTTCAAAATATTTCCCACTGTCTTTAACCCCAAATATAAGAGGAAATGAGATTTTAAGAAGTCAGTGTCTATAGCTTCAAAGTATTCTTAAATCTACAGATCCGAACCCACTCTTTAACATGAGACACATATATTACATTTGCGTAGCCTGTTGCTTGAATAAGTGCCATTCTCACTTGTCAGCACCTGTGCTATATTTGAATGTCTGCTCATAGGCCTGAGCCCACTTTGGGTTCCTTGAGAGAAGAAATGAAGCTTTATCTTTCTTGCTGTACTGTGGGTTCGCTCTGACTCCCCCACCATGGGGCACATGGGCTAGTCTGAACCTATAGGAGTTTAAATACTAGTCCTTTTAGATATCCCAGTATTTTGGCTCCTTCCATCCCAGAACTAACACACCCAAACCTTGGATCCACTATAGTCGCGTTGACATCTTGCAATAGCTGAGCTCCATGGGATGACTTGATCTCCTGACTGAAAAGACAATTAATGACCATAACATAGTAATCAGATTCCTCAACATTTAAATGTATCAGTCAAGAAATCTGTTGATTTCTCCCACTGCTGAATTTATACCTAGCAGGATTAACTGAGCCTTGGCCTTCTTTTAAAGTTCATGGGTCAAGAACACCTAGAAGTCTTCACTGTTGTCTTGGTAAGCCTCTCTGGTACAGAGAGAAGATGAATATGTATCACTAAGGCACTCTCTTTGTTAAAATGAAACACCCTCCTCATGAATCTAGATAGTTTTTAGACAAAGATAAAGTATGAGACAAAAGTGTCTTTTAAGCTACAGTACTCCTGTAGTAAAAGCTTCTCAATATAACCCAACTTTCTCTTACCTTCACTACCTAAATTCTAGTTCTGTCTCTCAATTCTGAACATGTCCAAAGCCTAACTTCCTTGGTTCTCAGAAGACTGTCTGCTCTCTTCTAGGCTTTTAGGTAGCTACAGAAAGCAGATTACATTCAAAGGTAATTAAGCCCCAGGGTACATGTCCTGGGGCCACCCCCCAAAAAGAAATATCTTGTCCATACCAGTTCTATCTGTACCCAGAGCCAGAACCTGATCTGGAAATGTGCCCAGGGCCTGGAGAACCTCAAAAGAGTCCAATCAAGCTTGGCTACTCCCATCGGGTGTGTGAGCTCCTGGCTGAGTGGGTGTGTTCTTTGCGGTGAGAGACACTGGAAAGACACGTCAGGAAGTATGTCATATTGTCATCACTACGACATTACAAGAATGACAATCATAGCTTACCTCGTTATATAGGCGGACAAGCACACCTTTTGGCCCAGTCTCGGCTTGTTGGGAAGCAGTCAGCTATGAGGCTCCATTATCTGCTATTTGCATTCCTCATCTTGTTCTTGGTGCCTGCTCCAGGTAAGATGGGTTGGGAAATTAAGGGTGGGAGAAGGTTGAGAACTTGTCATTTAGTCGGTCCTTCTCTGTTCCTGGTAAGCCAGAGATCAGGCGGATCTGGTGGGTGGAAACCAAACATCGCCAGTGTTTCCTTCTATAACAATCATTCGAGAAACCCTGTCTTGAAAAAAACAAAAACAGCAACAACAAAAAAGAGCATTAAAATGAAAGCAGGCTTCTGAGTTCATCCTGTTCCACTCTTCAAAGACTAAATAATGCCCCGAAGCCAACTCTCCACCCACTTACCCACTTCATTACTGGGATACAATTAATGAGGCAGGAGAAAGTTGATGTGGACTTTTAATTCTGATGGAAGTGAATGATTTAGTCTGATATCCAAGCCCACAGATGTCTATTCTAAATGGGCTTAGTGGTTGGAGGTAGAGCGGCACCCTAGTCTGCTTGAAAGGTGCTTGAGACAATGGTGTCCCTAACTCCAAGTTCTTACATTAAGTCTTAGAGGTCAGGCTTCTGTGTGGTCACAGCTGAGATGCAACCCATACAGGCATTGTTTCCTGCTTAAGCACCCCTTAACTTTTGATTTATTAGGAAAAGAGAAAAGAGACAGACATGACAAGAAACTAATTCAACAATGCATAGTTTGCTGGATCCAATGTCTTCCTAACACTCTATCTAAAATGTGCTTTGATTTTTTTTCCCCTTGCAGGGGATGCATTCATCCAGAAAACCCTTCGAAAAATATACTGCAAAGTAAGAGGCGGCCGCTGTGCTCTGTTTAGCTGTCTTACAACGGAAGAACAAATAGGTCGATGTTCTAAAAAAGGTCGGAAATGCTGCCGAAAGAAGAAGTAGAAGGTCCGGATTCAGGACGAGAGTGTTGCCGTTTGGGGGGAATCTTCTTGAAGGTGTAAAAGAGTAAAATCAAATTAATATATTTTTTTTAAAAAAAATAGTAGCTTAATCTTTTTCAACATTCTGGTCATCACAGTCATAAACAAGTAGGCTACTGAGAAAGTTGTCAGACTCAATTTGATTTGAATGAAGCAGCACCTCTGGAGTGGTCTACAAGATACCTAGCTTATTTTCCAAGGGCCAAGGACTTGAATAGGTGTGTGTGTGTGTGTGTGTGTGTGTGTGTGTGTGTGTGTGTGTGTGGTGTAGCATGTATAGAAATATGTGTATATATGGAATGTACATATACACGTGTATAGATAGACATTTTATATTTTCTATGCCCTATATCCATTGGAAAATGGAGCTGTTATCTCTTGAAATACCCCTTTGGATCTTACTGTAGATACTTTGATCTTTCCAGTCTTCTCCCCAGAACTGCATTTTCCTGAACCAAAAAAGTCAGTTCAACCCAGAAGTCACCCTTTATCCCTTCGGAAAACTTTGCTTAGAGAAATGGGAACCTGTCCCTTCCTCTGCTCTCTCTGCTTTCCCACTGCTAGGGCCTTTGCTCGGCGGCTTCCTGCCTGGTCCGCATTCCGCCCACTCACTTCTCACCCCTAAAGTGACCCTTGAGGGCCGCCCTGTGCTCTCTTCTTCCTCAAAGCAGCAAACTTCCCAAATAGGAGCACCTTTCCTTGATGGGCCACAGGTTCTGACTCGAGTCCTCTATCTACAGCTTTTGCATGGGTTTTGGTCTGCAGGCATTCACACATTGCCACTCTCCACCTTCAGTTGTGGAATTCATAACAGCATGGCCCTTGCCTCCATCTCTGGACACTTAGTAAGATGACTGTGGAACTGGCTAACAAGTGTCGTTTGAGGTGAAGGACATCCATACAACTTAGAGGGTCCTAAGGTCTTCCCTGACAGCAGCACCCAGTCAGAGGGGTACACAGACAAGATAACCAGGCTCTCAGTTAGGGTGAAAGAATCATCCTGCCACACAGTTTATGGAACCCATCACTCATCAAAAGGATGGTGCAAAAGGCTGTTTCTAGACACTAAACAACAACCAGTACAAACCTGTGACAAAAGAGAAAGAAGAGAGAGAGAGAGAGAGAGAGAGAGAGAGAGAGAGAGAGAGAGAGA